ACTATAGCTAGTTTGATATCTTCTTATGAAAACTGTATTCATATTCTTTGACCATTTATCAGTTGGGGAATGACTTGTATTCTTATAAATATGACTTCTATATATATTTGAGAATTGAGGCCTTTATCAGAGAAATTTGCTATAAAATCCCCCCCCCCCCCCCCGTTTACTACTTACCTTCTAATCTTGGCTGCATTGGTTTTTTTTTGTGCAAAAATATTTTAATATGATGTACTCAAAATTATCAATTTTCCATCTCATAAGGCTCTCTGTCTTGTTTGAACATAAATTCTTCCCTTATCCATAGATCTGACAGGTAAACCATTTCATGCTCCCCTAATTTGCGTATGATATTACCCTTTATGTCTAAGTCATGTACCCGTTTTGACCCTATCTCAGTATGCACTGTGAGGTGTTTGTCCATACCTAGTTTCTGCTGAACTGCTTCCTGGTTTCCCCAGCAATTTTTGTCTGATAGTGATTTCTTGTCCCAAAATCGTGAATCTTTGGGTTTGTCCAACACTAGATTACTGTGGTCATTTACTACCGCTCTGTTTCTTAGCCAGTACCAGATTGTTCTGATGATTACTGCTCTGTAATAGAGTTTGAGATCTGATACTGCTATGCCACTTTGCTTCACTTTTTTTATTGATTCCCTTGATATTATTGACCTTTTGTTTTTCAAGATGAATTTTTTTTCTAGCTATATAAAATAGTTTTTTGATAATTTTATTGGTATGGCATTGAATAAATAACTTTAGGTAGAATTGTCATTTTTATTAGGTTTGGCCTAGCCATGATGACCCATCTATTCTTTTTTTTTTCTTTTAAAGGCTATTGGGGTTAAGTGACTTGCCCAGGGTCACACAGCTAGTAAGTGTTATGTATCTGAGGTCACATTTGAACCTGAATCTGAGGCCAGTGCTCTATCTACTGTACCACCTAGCCGCCCCTCCTTTCAGTATTCTCCAGAGGTCTACTATATCTAACTTCTAAAATTCCATTCAGGGCCTTCATTTTTAAAAAAAAAAATTACTTAGATTTATTTAGTTCTGAGAAATGGTAAATTGAGATTCCTCCACTCTTATAATTTTACTGTTGATAATTTTTCCTTCAAGAGTTTAGATGCTATGCCATTTGCTGCAGATATATATATATATATATATATATATATATATATAATGCTGATATTAATTCCTTATTTCTGGTACCTTTTAGTAAAGTTTATTTTCAATTTTTCATTCTATTTTTTTTTTTACTGTTGTTTTGCCTGAGATCATAATTACTACCTTTGCCTTTTCCACATCAACTGAGGCATAATAGATTCTTCTCCAGCCCTTTATTTTATATCTTTCTGTTTCAAGTGTTTCTGGGAAACAGCATGTTTTTGGATTCTGGTCTCTAATCCAGTCTTCTATTCTCTTCTGTTTTATGGGTGAAGTTATCCCATTCACACCCACAGTTATTATTGCTAATTGTGTATTTACCCTTTCATCCTATTCTCTTATACTTTCCCATCTCTTTGTTTCTTACCCCCTCTTAAAGAAGTGTTTGTTTTCTTGTGATGAATCCTTACCTTAACTTATTTCCCCTCTTTCCCTCCTGTTTTCCTACTGGAGGAAAAGGTATTTCTGTATCCAGCTGTGGATTTGTGTATTTTTCTCTTATTTGATCAGTTCAGAAGAGAGTAAGATTCAAGTGTCACCCAATCCCTTCTCTCTCCTTTTTATGGAGACTTACTTGCAAACCCTATTTATATGAGATAATTTCTCCCATTCTTCCTTTCCTTCCCACCCTCCCAGCTTACTCCTTTTTCTCATACTTTCCATTCTTTTTTGAAGGTCCATCAAAACACAATAGAATTACTCCCAAGCCCTCTATCCAATTAGACTTCTCTAGATAATATAGTGATTATCCTTGCATATAAGTATGTAAACAGATTGACCTTGTTTAGTCCCTTATTATTTTTTGCACATATTTACCTTTTTCTATTTCTCTTGACTCTTGTTGAATTTTCTACTTAGCTCTGGTCTTTTTGTCAGGAATGCTTAAAAGTCCTCCATTCCATTAAAGGTGTGTGTTTTCCCCTGTAGGATTATACTTAGTTTTCCTGGATAAGTAATTCTTGGTTGTAAGCCGAGATTATTTGCCTTTTGGACTATCATTTTGCAAGCTCTCCACTCCTTTGTAATTGTTGTTGTTTCATCATTTCAGTCATGTCAAACTCTTAATGACCCATTTGGGGTTTCTTCGGCAGAGATAATGGAATGTTTTGCCATTTCCTTCTCCAGCTCATTTTACAGATGAGGAACTGAGGCAAACTGGGTGATTTCCAAGGTCACATAGCTAGTAAGTGTCTGAGGCCAGATTTAAACTCGAGAAGATGTGTCTTCGTGACTTCAGGCCTGTCACTCTATCCACTGTGCTACTTTGCAGCCCACATTTACAACTCCCTGGTCTGAGCTCTGTAAGTTCCTGATGTAGGTTTGGGTCTTTTGGCTTGTCTCTGTTTGGGAATTTGTGCTCCCAAAATGCTGCTGGCCCTCTACCACTGTTAGTCCTCTGGAATACCCCTATAAGTTCAGAGGGATTGAATTCTAGGCTTTCCTTTGGCCTGGAACACCTGCCCTGGTTACTGCACTTTAAGCTTCAGCCTGTCTGGAGGTTATAACTGAGTCCCTTGCTCTACTTCTGGAATTAGAGCCACACAACTATTCTTTGCTTCCAAACTTGTTCCCTGCTCAGTACATATTTATGGTCCACTTAGCAACTGTACCTCTTTGCCATCCCTAGGTTTAGATCTCTAATTAGTTAGGAGGTGATCATGTGTCACCTTTTCTTACCCTAATGCCTAGTCTTGGCTCTCTTTGAATCCCTGAATGCTGGAATGCTCTACAAGCATGCTCCTAGCTATGTGATTTCTCCCGTGTCTACAGATCTGTGTCTGGAGAAATTGACTCATCATGGCTTTTTCTTGGATTTCCAATCAGAATTTGGTCTGGTCTCTTTTTTAGATCTTTGTGGAGGACATTTGGTGGGAAACTAGGTTTTGCTTCTTCCTACTCTTCTGCCATCTTGATTCTGTGCGTGGAAAATCCCTTTTGCAGTTACAAAATATCACAGGGGAGTATGGCAGATTAAGAGTCTTAGCCTAAACAGGAAAAGAAAGTGGAAACAAAAACAAGTATGCAAAACCTCAGCATTAGATAGAAATGGAATTTAACAGGGATAAATACAGTCTTGAATTTAGGTTCAAAAATCAACTTTACAAGTACAGAATTTAGAAGAAACCTGGCTTGAAAATAGTTCACGTGAAAAAGACTTAGATATCGTAGATAATTGTAGAATCAGTGTGAACCAGTGGTGTAACATGTAGTAGCTACCAAAAAAACTAACTAGCTTTGGATCACAATACCAGAGAGTTTTCAGGTTATAGGACATAACAGTCCTGCTGTACTATATATTGTTCAATGCCTGGAAATAGCAAGCACTTAATAAGTACTTTTTTATTTGTAAGTATTTTTTTTTTTATTCAGACCACATTAGGAATATTCATATCTGGGTACTATTTTTTAAGGATGTTAAGCTATAGAATATGAACAAGAAGGTAATCACGTTTATTATGAAACCAAACCATGTATAGTTTTGGTAGGACTATTATGAGGCTTAAGGAAGATAATGGATGGGTAAAGTACTTTGTAAACCTTAAAATGCTGTAAAAACATCAGCTCATTATCATCATCATCATCATCATCATCATCATCATCATCAGCTTAAGTCATCATGCCTCCAGTCTGGTGACAGCTGCATTTCCTGTGACTTCTACTGCACTCATGCTGAACTCAGGCAATGTTTGTGGAGCAGTACAGGGATATGCTGGTAAATTTTTAACAATCACACTCTCTAGGGGTAAGAAAAAAAGTGTATGTACACATACTTTTAAGCTTAATCAGCATGATTAACATTTTCCCCATCACCTTCCTAAGGCTAGAAAATCAAATAAAACTGTAAATCATCCCTGATTAATAGTGATTGCTGATTTCTGAAGTGTAAAAGCTCACATTGAGAATTTTACTATGGTCTCACCCCTGTGGAAGTGGCTCCAGCACACCCATGGATTTTGGTGAAGGAAGTGAAGAGGGTTTCCTGAAAGAAAAGAATTGGTGTGGGCTGGGAGTGGGGTTGTGTAATGTGTGACTAGATACTTGAAGGGTTGTTGTGTGGAAAACTAATCAGATTTACTTCATTCCCTCAGAGAACAAAATTAATTGATGGAAATTGCAGACAAGCACATTTTAGCCAGTTTAATTAAGAACTTTCTGACAAGGGCTGTCTAGCCATGGAATGAGCTGGCTTGTGAGATAGGAACTTCCTTGGCATTCTAGATGCTGGATATGTGTGAAATCTGTTCCACAGTCACTTTATTTTCTTCCAAAGAAAAACTATTTTTCAATATTATCCATTGACTTTAAACTCTTAGCAAAGGTTACTTAGTCTCTCCCACATAGAAGGGTGCACACTTTATATTTCTACTCACAGGGAAAGGATGAGGTGGAACAGTTTTTAATACAGGAGTTCACTTTTTCACTGTTAGGGGTTTTAATACGAGATTGGAGTAGTGAAATATATCACGAGATAAATTCAGAATTCTTGGGGCTTTGTGGGATCTGCCCAGGTGACATCATAAATAAATTGTACATGTGCTAAAGGAATTTAAAGTTAGTGGTATGCTGTTTCAGACAACAAAGTTTTGAAATTTTTAGCCAGGTTCCATTTACTGTTTGATTTGACTCTCCTGGCAGCTGCTGCTGTCCTGTATAATATCACCACCATTCATGAATATTTGACTCTCGCGCATTTTGATACTTACTAATTCAATTGAATGGAATTAATCTGCTGACATACAGTATAAATCAGGCTTTTATTACCAATAGTCTAATCTCTTTGTCCCCCCTATTATCCCTGTTATACTTTCTGCCTCTTAAAAAAATGACTGTTAGGTTCTCACATTGCTGATCAATGCAGCCTATAAACCAAGCCGTGTTCTTCGCGAGCTTCAGCTAGATGAAGATTCTGTGTGGCATGGACATGGGGAAACTCTAAAAGCCAAGTATGTTACCTCTTTTGTCCCCCTTTTTCTTTTGTAGTTGAATGCATATTAGTTGCTGCAGGAAACTCTAGGATTACCTAGAATGTCATTCTGAAATCTGGAGGACCAAAGTTATATACCTGGAAATACCATTTAGACCATTAAACTGAATTGCAAACTATTAACTAAATGAAAGAATGCTACAAATAGCTAGTAATAAGAGATATGCAAGTCAAAAGAAAATTGAGGTTTTATCTCACTCTAAGCAAATTAGCAAAGATAGAAATAGTCTTGGAGAGGCTGAAGAAATATAAGCACAGTAATACACTGCTGATGCAACTATGAATTGGTCCAATCATTCTGAAAAGCAGTTTGGAATTTTGCTAAAGAAAGGAATAACATGTTCATGCCCTGTGACTCAAAGATTCCATTGCTAGGGCATGTACCACAAGAACAGAATAAATGGTCTCATTTATATAAAAGTATTAAAAGCCCCTTTCCTGGAAACAGAGAACTAGAGACCGCAGTAAATGTCTATCACTTGAGGACTATCTAAATTTATTGTGGTATATAAATGTAATAGAATAATATTACTGAACTGTAATAAGTGACATTAATTTTTTAAACTATAAGCAATCTTGTTTTTTAGAAGCAGTTTCATCTTGAAGAACTTGAGGGCTGGAAGGCAAAACCTTTGCTTGTTAACATTTTTTAGCAAGAAATTTTGGTTCTTTATGCATTATTTTACTAGTATAATATGTAAGAGCAATCTTTTTCAAACGGAATGTCATGGAAGAAAATTCCTTACTTATAAAGTATGTAAAACATGAAGCATTTTTTAAGAAACAGGCTGATTGATGTGCGCAGTAAGACTTTTCCTCTGTTTGATTTGGACTAGTGAAATAACTTTGACATTTGAATTCCTCCAATGACAGATACAAAGGAAAAAGTTATCGTGCTACTGTTGAGATAGTGAGAACAGCTGACCGGGTAACCGATTTCTGCCGGAAAACCTGTATAAAATTGGAATGCTGCCCTAATCTCTTTGGTCCTCAGATGGTTCTGGACAAGTGTTCTGAGAACTGCTCTGTACTGACAAAGACCAAATACAGTAAGTGATCTTTTAAATATTGGTAGCTAGTGGCTGGGAACCAGAGTCCTTTGTCTATGAGACAGGGACATTTAAAAACATTTATGTAGCATCTAATACAATATATAATTGTTTAACTCCACACTAAATTGCTTTTGCCTCTGGAGTGAATAGTATCCCCTGTTCTACGTTCTGGTTCTTTTCATGCTCATCACATTTTTTAAATTAAAGAAAACATTAAAGTAAATAAACAGATTATAAGGCAATATAGTTTTATCAAGGCTCTGTGACCCTTACACAAAATCCTGATTTTTTATCTTTGATTCATGCTGCTTAAAAGCAGTATGACAGAACCAGTGCACCTTGGTCGAATTAATATTAAAAAAAAGACTTTTTCTTAGGCTAAGGAATTGTCTGTTAGACACTTTTAATTCATAAAATTAGCTTTCTGAATTCTTTGTTTTTAAGGTCAAATGATCTCTTAATTAATTTTGATAAAATATATTTAAATGCCTCGTAAAATGTTGTGCTAGGATCTGGAGATACAAAAAGGAAAAGTGGCCCAATTTCTGCTCATAATGAGCTTATGGACTGCTGGGCAGATAGGGCATATGTAGGCAAAATATCTCATATATGGTTACACTTATATTGTCTAGCCCTTAGGGTACATGAGTACACATCTTTAAAACTTTGGGAACCACTCAAATTGATCTTTATTTCTTTTCCATAATGTATTTCTAGTAAATGGCATTGCCAAAATTATTGTGGACTTTAGTGGGAGAATCTCTTTTTTAACATTAATTTGGGTGAAATTAACTTAAATCAGAAGTTAGGAATACTCAGTTTTATTTTTTTCCCTACCATAAGGGCATTCTTGATACATATTCTTTACAACCAAGAGTTAAGGTAGTCAATATTTTAAATAAGTGATTTATTTTGATAATTTTTTCAGCAGATTGTCATTTTTATTATGAAGGCTAATTGAAGCAAATACTGATGAAACCACTAGGTGCACCATCTCAAGGTTAATCACTGGTATTTGGAAGATATGTTTGATGTGCTTAAATAGAAACCTATTGTCACTATGTTAGAATGGATCAATAAATGAATTAGAAGTATTTATTAAGCATTTAATATGTGCCATTCACTGGGATTCAAATGCAGAGGCCTCAAGGAACTTGTATCCTAGTAGGAGGAGATCATGTGGGAGAGGTGGGCAAGGGGATGGTGTTTTGGTTTGGGAGGGCACAGGGATGATGAGGGGAGTCAATTGACAATAGTAGTATTGATTTTATTAGTGTACCCAGAGCTAGAAGTATAAAAGGTTATAGAGGGTTATAGAGGTTATAGAGTGCCTGGGGATGGCAAAGAGGTGGCTAGAAGCAGTATAGCTCTGTGCTTCAGGACTCATCTGTCTGGATATCATAGCACCAGGCAGTAATTCCAGAGCTGAGTGGATTAAGTCTTCCTGACTTGGATTCGGGAGGGAGCGTAAGCTGGACATTTAGATGGAATGTGTAAAGCATGGTGATACTTTCCATCAAAAATTTCCCCTTTTCTCCCTCTCACTTCTTTCCTGCCCACCCATGGAAAAAGAAGGAAAAACAAAACCTCTGTTACAAACATGTATAGCCAAGCAAAACAAGTTCTTATATTGGCCATGTCCAAAAAAATGTCTCATTTTATACTGTGAGTCCGTCACCTCTGTCATGAGGTGGGTAGTATGTTCATCATAAGTCCTCTGGAATTGTGATTAGTCATTGCGTTGATCAGAGTTTTAAGTCTTTCAAAGTTAATTGTCTTCACGATACTGTTGTTACTGTATATTGTTCTTCTAGTTCTGATCCTTTCATTCAGTTCATACAGATCTTCCAAGGTTTTTCTGAAACCATCCCTTTCATCATTTCTAATAGCACAATAGTATTCCATCACATTTATATGTTATAACTTGTTCAGCATTTCCTCCTTATTTGCTACCACAAAAAAGCTACTATAAATGTTTTAGTACATATAGATATTTTTCCTCTTTCTTTGATCTTTTGGGAGTATAGGTCTAGTTAGAGTGGTATTGTTGGGTCAGTTTGCATAGTTTAGTAGCTTTTTGGGCACAGTTCCAAATTGCTTTCCAGAATTGCTGGTTCAGTTTACGATGTTACTAATAGTGCATTAATGTACCTATTTTCCCACAGCTCCTCCAGCATTTGTCATTTATTTGTCAATTTTGTCAGTCTAATAGGTGTGTAAGATGGTATCTCAGAATTGTTAGAGCAGTTTTTCATATGACTACTGATAGCTTGAATTTCTTCCACTGAAAACTGTCTTTTCATATCCTTTTCACTATTTATTAATTGGGGGAATGGCTCTTATTTTTATACATTTGAACTAGTTCCATATGCACACACACTCACTCACACACACATCTCAGAAGCATGATGACACTTTCAAAAAAAAGGTTATATGAATGTATTATTTTTTAATACCATTTTACTAAACATTAGTCATTTTCATGGTAATGCCTTCAAGTTAAAAATATAAATTAGACCCCTATACACAGCTTTTGTGGGTATTTAAAAAAAACAACCCTGCAAAATTTGAAATAAAAATTTTTTTAGATGATTTTTATCTTTCCTAACTAGGAAGATACTCAGTTTAAATTGGATTCAAATTGTGAAGGAAGGGAGATGATTCAGAACATAAAGCTTAGATAAACCTTATCCCTGATCTCATGGAGTTTATTTTAGTAGGACTTGATAAGACAACAAACCCAAATAATTATGATATACAACATTACATGATAAATTCATTAGAGAATTGCAAAACATGCTTTTTGAGGTCTGAGAACTCTGATTATCAAGTTGACAATGAAGTTAGAGGAGCTTAACAAATTTGTATTGCAATACATAATGTATTGAAACTTTATATTAGTTCAGATTACTGTGTTAATGCTAACAACTCACATTTATATAACACTTTAATGTTTTGCAAAGTGATTCCCTCAAATCAACCCTGTCAGGTAGTATAGACATTTTTGATCCACCATTTTAAACTGAGGTTTTGAGAAGTTAAGTGATTTATTTATGGCTTATAGCCTGTAAGTATCTGAAGATAGATTTGAATTTAGTTTGACACCAAGCTCAGCAGTTTTTTCAATTACATCATGCTACTTCTTCCCTTTTAGCCATGATTGTGGGCTGTATTATGATTAAGCTGATTGGCCACATTGTTTCTCTCTTCATCCCAAATCCCAAATAGTTGTTTCAAAAAGGGATAGAAAGCAAAATACCTCCTTCCCTGTATCTTCACTTTTATCTTCCATTGTTGTCCTTACAAACAGAACAGAGTCTTTCCTTATTTCTGTCAAAAGCACTACCATCCTTCTAGTCACCCAGGTTATAAACTTTGGCTATCCTTAGTTATCCTTGATTCCTCACTCTTATTCCATATATCCATTCAGTTGTCATATCTTGTCATTTCTACCTTTAAAACCTCTAGGACATGTGTCCTCTTCTGTTTATATAGCCTCATCTGGCCCTCATCACCTCTTTTTTTTCCTCATCACCTCTTGATTGGACTAGTGTTATAACCTATTAATTAGTCTCCCTGCTTCAAGTCTCCCTCCTCTGCAATCCATCCTACACACAACTGACAAATGACTTTCCTAGAGTTTAGGTTTGACCATGTCACTCATCTACTCAGTAAATATCAATGACTCCCTATTACTTTTAGGATCATATATAAGCTCCTCTTTTTGGATTTTAAAACCTTTTACAACCTGGCTCTAGATTACCTTTCCATGTTTACTATATAATAGTCCCCTTCACATACTCTGTGGTCCGGCCAAATTGACCTCTTTGCAGTTCCTCACACATTGCATTGCCTGTCTGCAATGTCTGGAGTGCACCCCCACCTCACCTCTCCCTTTTAAAATGTTGTTAATCCTTAAAACCTTTCTCAAGTGATGCCTTCTCCGTGAAGCTTTTCCTGATAACCTCCCACCCCAAAAAAGTTAGCTTATGTTTATATTCTGTATGTACTTACATGTTTTCCCCACTAGCAAGTAATTTCTTTGAGGGCGGAGACTGTTCATTTTTGTTTTTGTATCCCCAGTGCCTGTCACCTAGTAAGCACTTAATAAATGTCTGTTGATAGATTGACATCATCCATTGACTTTTCTTTTTTCTTAGCATCTGACCTCTTTAGCACTACCAACTGTGATGACAGTTGAAAATAGTAGCCTTGAAGTACCACAGTCATACAGAAAAGTGTGATACAAAAGTCTCATATCTCTCTCTTTCTCTCTCTCTCTCCTTCTCTCCTGCTCTCCTGGTCACATGCCTCCAGCACACTATTACGGGAAGAAGAAAAATAAAAGAATTGGGCGGCCACCTGGTGGGCATAGTAACTTAGAGTGCGTTATGAAGAAAACAAGCAAGAGACGGAAGAGGAGGAAGAACTTCTTTGTCCATAAGAAGAAGCGCTCCTCAGCATCTGTGGATAACACCCCAGCAGGCTCTCCCCAGGTACATGGACGGAGCTTGGAGAGGGGTGAACTAAAGCTTGTCTCTGCTTCTCTCACTTTGACAAACATCATTATTTCATGCCAATTTCAAAAGGGAGCGGATTCTGTAGACCTTGATAATTTGACTCTGACTATTGAGAAATGCTTTTTTCTTGCAGAAACCAATGTTTTTGATGAGTTGTGGGTCATGTCTTGTTTTTTGTGCCGTAGGGCAGCGGGTGTGAAGATGATGATGATCAGGATGAAGTAGATGAAGAATCTCTAAGTGAAGATAGTGCCTCTGAACAGCAAGATGAGCTGCAGGAAGAATCAGAAGTGTCAGAAAAGAAATCATGCTCTTCCTCTCCTACCCAAAGTGAATTGTCTCATTCATTGGCTCAGGATCGAGACAAGAGAAAAAGAAAACTTCGCACTTTTTCTTTCTCTGATGATGAGAATAAACCTCCTTCACCAAAGGTACCTATTTAACAATTTTTTTCTCCTTTGCCCTAGGATTTTTGGGTGAATTGAACTTTTGCAGAAATAAAGATATCAGATAAGGTTTTTTTCTTTTTCTATATGGACTTGAATTTTGAGGAGTTCCCTTTAAAAATGAATTCGCAGTGCAATAATTACTTGCCCAAAAATTTTTATGAGGATTGAATATGTAGTATAGAGGTCCTAGAACACTGGGACTACTGGGCTTCCATAAAAGAAAAAATACGAGTACAAAAAATGACACTTCCTTGTTTGACTTAATAGTGAATTAGAAAAAAGTTCTTTTGAATTTATGATAGATACTTTTAGGTTTGTTCCAATTTTTAAAACCATTGACACTTTTGATTTTAATAAAGCAATTTTGTTGAAATATAGAAATAATGTAGATTTTATATTTTTTTTCCAACAACCACTTATGAAGTGCCTTGAAAATAGAAAACACTATTCTGCCTTTTGGAAAGATTGAGATACTTCTCACACAGTTCCTAACTCTATCCTTAGGGCTTTTAGTGGAAAGATGGCATCAAAACAGAATCTCTTCCTTTTATATTTAAAGTCACTTCAAAATGATTCATATTAATAGAAGTGATCAATCAACCAATAAGCACTTATTAAGCACCTACAGAGTACCAGGCATTAAGCTGGGTGCTAGAACTCCAAAGACAAATGGGAAAAATTATATCTGCCTCAAAGAGCTTTCAGTCTAGCCAGATACAAATGTATTACATACAAAATGGATACAACGTAATTGGGGTCTTAAATGATCTCTTGATTTTTAATTTAAAGTTTTTCTTTTGTTGTAAATACTATTTGTCTCATTTTGGGTACACCACTCCAAGGAGGGTTTAAAAAATTAACTGTGTCACCTTTTTCTTTAAATGGTTCAAATATTTTTCTTAGTCCTTCAAGAAAATTAAATCTTCTCTTTATTTTCCATGTTTATCATCCTGAATAACACCACAAACTTTATTGAGTACCTACAGTGTCTAGGGCTCTCTGGTCATTTTCATGAGGAGTCTGCCCTAAACGCATTTTAAATCTAAACTTCACTGCTTGGCATTGACAAGAAAGTATGTAGACATTGTTTAAAGGTGATGGCCAGAATTTATGATACTGTAAAATTTGCTTTTATTTGGTGGAAATGAAGGAAATAAAGATTGAAGTTGCTGAAAAACTGCAGCTGGACAGTAACCCACTGGAGTGGAGTGTGGCTGACGTTGTGCGGTTCATCAAATCTACAGACTGTGCTCCATTAGCGAGAATATTCCTAGATCAGGTACTATGGATGCTTTGCATTTTTGTTAACATATCTTACAAGGAAAAAGCTGTAGACATATTTAGTCACAACAATTCATCCAGAAACCTTTAAAAGCAAGCTTTTTTCAGATGCAAAAAAATATGAGTTTCATAATTAATTTTTCCAAGTTGCAAAAGGGAATAAGCATTTCTATAGTACTTACTATGTGCCAGGCACTGTGCTAAGTACTTTACAATTACTATTTGATTCTCATAACAACCCTAGGAAGTAGGTGCTGTTATGATCCTCATTTTATAGATGAGGAAACTGAGGAAAGCAGAAATTAAGTGACTTGCCCAAGGTCATATAGCTAATAACTGTCTGTGGCTGGATTTGATAAGTAAAAGGCAGTTTTGTGGTGCAGTGGATAGAGTGCTGGGCCTAGACTCAAGAAGACTCATCTTCCTGAGTTCAAATCTGGCCTAAGACATTTACTAGCTGTATAATCCTTGGCAAGTCACTTAACCCTGTTTGCCTCAGTTTTCTCATCTGTAAAATGAGCTGGAGAAGGAAATGGCAAACCACTCCAGTATCTTTGCCAGGAAAACCCCAGATGGGGTCACTAAGAGTCAGACATGACTGAAAGGATTGAACAAGAATGTTTGCTAAATAATTATTATTTTCTTAGCAGTGATGAATGCAAGTTCTAAAAATTGAGTTCTGTTTATTTTAAAGGAGTGATTGTGAAGTGTATTCAGGGTATCCCAGAAATCTTAGTGCAGTTTTAGGTTTATTAATTTAAAATTTCACTAAGAGTTGTGGGATTGTGTGTGTGCATACACATCCTTACATACATTTGTGTGTATGTATATATACACATACATATGACATGTATGTATATGTGCACGTATGTGTATATATGTATATATTTCTTTGTGTTTGAGGCCTTACAGTGTCCTTTAATCACTGTTGATCAGTTTTAAGGAAAACTTTAAACAGTAAAAATAATTCCATTGTTCTTAATTAAGTATAAAAATGGAAGGATTTTGTTTTAATAATTTGGGAAGTTTAAAAGAGATTTGTATATCATCCTGTAGAATATTTTTTTGATGAACAGATGTCCTAAGCATGTTTCATGAGTTTTTTGCTTACTTTGTAAAACCAAAAAAAAAACCCTGAAGCTTAATATTCTTTTAGGTTTAGTTAGAGAAGTGTATAATCAATTCCTTTTGGAGGGCTACCATTTATAACTTAACTTTATTTGTTGAATGCCTGAAAGCAAGAGAGAAGTCAGTCTGGTGACAATTATTGATGAATCTACAATATTATTAGGTTCTGAATATTTGTTAGTAATGAGCACTATGAAAAAAATTTTTAGTAACCATTTTTTCTTAAAGGAGACCAAAAGAGGATAAGAAAAAACTACTCCCTTTGTAAACAGTAAAGTTTGAAACGGATAAGACTTAATGGACCAGCCAGTAGAAATGGAATTCATGATGAATGAACCACTGCATACAATTAATAGAAAATTCTTCTTTTTATCCTTTGGCAGGAAATTGATGGGCAGGCCCTACTACTTCTTACCCTTCCCACTGTTCAAGAGTGCATGGACTTGAAGTTGGGCCCTGCTATCAAGCTTTGCCATCATATAGAGAGGATCAAGTTTGCCTTTTATCAGCAATTTGCTAATTGACAAGGATGACCAAGGTGAACTGAACCTTTGAAGCACAAATGCAGCGAGCCATTGGTCTCTCTCTGAGATGGCATGATGACTTTGGTGACCTCCAGATGTCTGCTTGCTGTGATTTTGCACTTTCAGGGAAGGAAGACCACACACATGAAGTAAAACAATGCACACTAAGTGTCTACCCTGCCAATGGAATTGTGGTAGTCCTTTGTTCATCAAATTACATTTTTTTTTAAATAAAAGATTGTGGGAAAAGAAAGAGACTCCTGTGAGGAGAATAAGTGTTTCACAAATTCAGGTGGTGTGGACTAAGAATTAAGAGTAATATCCTAGGCTGCTGGAATACACTTTTTCTGTTGCTCCTTTTCTTTTTGTTCCTTCCCATGGTAGGTTGACATGTTCTCTGCTTCCTTTTCTTGGGAAAAGAGAACATGGCTTTAACTTAGCACTGATATAAGGCTATGCCTTAAGGAAGACCAGTGCTCCATTTTCAATATTCTTTTTAAGGTTTTTAAAACTAAAAGCAGCTCATGGGGGAATGTTTTGTGGAACCAGGGCTTTATATATGTATAGTTCCATTTTAGCCCATTTAAAAAGCTTTTCCTGGTGATTTCTTTTTGTTACGAACTGTGTTGACAATTGTAGTTAACAGTTCTGGGTGGAATTTTTTTCCTGTGATAGTTGCTTTGCTGTCACCATAACAATAAGGAATTATGTAAGATGAAAGTTGAAGAAAGACATTTAAAAAAATTTAGTGAAAAAATCTGTGGGAGCTTATAACAGTTCCTAAAACTGACCTAAACCCAAAATTCTCATGAATATGAGATTTTTACAGAGATATCTTCCATCTTTGACACTGGTCAGCTAGTTAAGTGGCATATCAAAGATTTGTTAGTAATTTAATTAAATAGGTTTCTCTTGAGCTTCACAAGAGGATTTTATTATTCTTTTCTCCTACAGTGGCTACTCCATTCTGTCCTGTCTCAAGGTTCCTTTCTTCATCTAGCTAACATTCATTTGACAAATAGGCAAGCCTCCCTTCACTTGTTCCCAGCCCTACCAAGTTTTTAGCACTTCTGCTTGAGCCAAGTAGTTAAAACATTAGTTTTTTCAGGAACCTAGAGCACAAGTTGAAAATCCTCATTCTGTGGAGGTGGCTTAAAAATCCAAAAAGAAGTTGAAAGATCAGAGAATTGTTGGACCTCTGCACATTTTTGAACTACTTCTCTGATTTAACTGCAAAGGAATCTCAAGATAGGATGTCATCCACATTTAGATGATCCTGATGGAACAGATCTATAGCTCTTTTAAAATCTATATCATCTTTTTAGTATTTATGGCCCTGCTTTTTTAAATTAAATTGAAAATTCAAGTGAATTTGCTTTCCCAGTTATGCTGTCGGGAGGCTTCAGCAGAACCGCCCAGCTGAGATCTCTTGATTTCATTGTGGATGGGGAAAAAAGAAGTGTGTGCTCATGTCCTGTAAATTAGGATTTTTGATGAAAATCTTCCTTTTTTTTTTATGAAAATCTTTTTGGATTATCCCCAGTCACCAACATATTATATTCAGACCATCCATCTTCTTCATATTCTACTTTAGATATCCTCACACCTACTAACTTATTGATTAGGAATTCTCATTGTGGATATAGACAACAGAGCTTATACGGTCTGGATCCTCTCTACATTAAATATTGAGTGAACTCCCTTAAATTAGACTCTATAGCCAAATGACAATAAGCACCAGTTATTACAGTGCATTTTGAAGAGGTGTTCAATAAGTATGTCTAGTAAATAAGGCATCCGTTTATTTTTTTCAACATTTGATAGCTTCTAGATGGTTCTCTTATTACTTGGATACTTCAGTGGACCAGTGATTTCATCTGGGTAAGTACTCCTTTTGGTAATGCAAGTCACAATCCATCCATGTCCTTGAATCTTTTGGAACTCTTTGTCCTTCTCCTTCCCATAAATTTTTCACAGAGGGTCCATTCAAAGTGGTGGGAACTTCTCTGGTTCTCCTGAAACTGCACCTATATCAGCAGGGGCTGACTATCATTATATCTTGTGCTAGACATGATCTCTCTAGGCAAACATCTTGCTGATGACATCCTTTATACCGCCTTTTTTGTGTAATTTTTGGTTGGTGATGAATACTTTGCAGCTTACCCATCAACTATCCTGAACTTCTTCCTTACCCTTTGGGTCACCCTCTACTTTAATTCTTCAGGACCTGTGGAACTCCATCACTAGGACTTATTCAGCATCACTGGAAGCATTCTGTTGGGCAAGGAATTATAATAAGTTCCCTGAAAGTACTCAACTATTTCCTAAAGGCAATCCAATTTACTATCTTCCTCATTGATTCTGGCCCTAGCCCATTATCTGTGCACGATATTATTTGTCCAACATGTGTGTGCTAATGATGAGGCAACACTATAGATTGGTTGCATCCAAGTGCATATCGTACTGTAGAGAGTAGACATTCTTCCTCTATTTAGTTTTTCTAGTGCGGATAATTAACCATATATGTGTTTCACTGGGACAGATTTCTAGAACCTTGGGTTACCTCCACAACAAGGCATCAAAGTAACACTTTGTGGAGGTCAGTCATATAAAAAAAGTTTTAATATAAGTAAAATATAGCATAATGAGTAGAGATAATTGGATATTTCAATATGAAGATTGGTCTGGTGAAGGAGGAGGTGGAAATGTGTGGTATTGGGCATTAACTAGAGAGATCACTTTTTGGAATCCTGATTAATAAAATTTTCTTCTGATCCTAACTACCCAGTAGTGGAATCAATTCAATTGATAATATTTGGGGAGTTTAAGGAAAATTCCTCTCACCCCAAAATAGTATTGGAATTCTGTAAGTGGAGTTTGGACCCTCAAATATTTCCCATCTTAATTAGGAAAATTAAACATACTTTACATGTGCAAGTCCACTAAATACAACAATTGAAATGTTACTTTCCCCCAAAATCTGTTTTTACTTCCAAAGGAACCATATAATTCTGGAGCTTAAAAAGGGAACCTTAGAGATGAATCTAGTACAACTCTTCAATTTTATGTTTGGGGAAAATGGAAGCCCCAAGAATGTGGTGACTATACAAAATTAAACAAGCTGGTCATTAATAAATATAACCTGAAAGAGGGCCTGGGTTTTTTGATTTCTCAGTGTAAGGCTCCTTTCACTGTACCATATTTCCCTCCTCCTATCCACTTCCACAATATTTTAATATGTTTTCAATATTTGTAATATACAAGCCAAGTAAAATCTCAGGGCCATTTTCTTGGAAGGAGACCATGACTTAAGACTGAAGCATTCATGCCTGTGAATTTTCTACCAAACATCTATTGCATCACTCCCTCAAATAGAATTCTTTCAGCAACTGTATTAAAGATGCAGAGTTAAACTGAAGAAAAAAACTAATTGGAAATCCTGCATGGAAGCAATAGTTTGGGAATGTTTGGTGTGTCGCTGTGTCCTTTAAAATATGCATTTCACATTAGTATTAGTGTAAGTAATTAAAGTAGTAACCTCACCTCATTTTGTTGGAAAGGTTAGAAGACTACGATGATGGGAGCCTGGAGCATCAACCCAATTTTAATATTTTGTATCCATTCTCTTCTGTCTCTTGATGTTTCCTCCTTGAATCACACCGGTTCCATACTGGTGATTCTTTTTGAGGTCTTTTCATAGATGCTCTGTAGAGGAGTCACCCAGCCTGAGGAAGGTCTTCTTTTGGTTTTTTTACTGTCTCAGGGTTACTAATGTAATTCCCAGGCTGTCCATCTGTTGTTTTGAGGGACAGCTGATCCACCTCCTTTTCTGGCCTGCAAAATGCCTTTGGGATCGCCACTTCTTGTGGGCATGTCATCACTGTGAACATGCAATAGTTTATTTACACTCATTTACACCCATAATTCATGTTTCTGTTGCTGTTAGGGTTACCTGTAACTTAGCTTCATTCAAGATCATGCTGTTCCATTGTTGGCAGCCTGGCAGTTTGGGATTGTTGAAAGTACTACAGGATTTTCCAGATTTGATTCAGCCTAATCTCCATTCTCAGCCTAGCTCATCATCCATTCACAGCAACTATGCCCAGGATATATATGAATGAGTTGCATGTATAGCTACATATCACAGCCTGGGAAATACAAAATTTTTCATCTATTTTATTTTTTTTAATATATAATATTAAATCTATCTCTTCTACATTGCTGTGATCTGAGGAGGTAGTGGTTTTTGTTTTGTTGTTTTTGTTTTTTAGTGTGTTAGAGCTTGATGCAGTTGATACAATGTTATCTGTGAATAGAAGCATTTGTAAAACCTCACTGTCTGTGTTTGGATTCCAATATAGAGTAATTTTCATTATACTGGAGAGCACTTTGGGTGACCGTATGAGTTCCTTTTTTATACCTTACTTGATCAATCAATCAATAAGCATTTATTAAACACCTACTATGTGCCAGGCAATATGTCATACACTAGGGATCCTTTATTTCAGTACTCAGCAGATTGCTGAAGAAAGTTATCTTTAATGTTGATGTTAGTCTCCTATATTTCCAATGTATATGTGGGAGATAGTCTTCTTAGAAGCCTTCAAGGATATAGTTTGTTCTGCTGAGTCAAATCCTTTTTTTTTTTAAATAAATAGCAGCTATGATTCTTGCTGTAGTAAGACTTGCGAAAGCCTGTTTGTTCCTTTTTCATGTTTTCATCAAGGATACCTTTGATGATTATGCAGGCCATTCTCCTAAAGATGTTGCAGAACTTAGAAAATGGGTATTTGGGTTAACAGTTGTTGAAATCTCAGTCAAACCATCTGTGGTCTTTTCTATTCTTTCAGAATCTTTTCCTCTTTGAAATAGCTTGAAAATGGACCCCAGAGTGCCTTGACAATGACCACCTTGAGCACAGATTCCTTATATGCATTTTGTCAGATCAGCCATTCTTCCCAAATTCATCTTAAGTGCTATCACCGCTTCTTTATGTAGTATATTGGGTATTGAAATGGCCAAATACATGGGTGGTAATTAAATTCGTACAACTAATTAAGGAAACTGGTATGATAAAGATGCTGGCCAGTATATTCCATTTCATGTCTGTTGTCATCCCCATCCACAGTCTAGTTTTGTCTGCCAGTGTTCTCAGGAGGACTTAGCTCTGCTTGGTCTCATATCATATTCTGAGCCAAATCATTTTTACCCACAATTTTTACCCAAAATATTTGTGTTATTTTGTAAAGTGATAATGCTCTTAATCTTCCATCATCCTTTTTAGCAAATAAGCTTGTACACTAAACTGGTGGTGTCCTTGGCTGCCATTTCTCTACCCTTGGCAAGAAGATTAAGTGTTTGCTGTTGGGGCATTTTCTGGGGTCTTTTGGCCTCTTCACTCTAGTGACTGCTTTGTATCATTTAAATTTCTCCTAAAAATCATGACAATACCTTTTTTAGTCAGTTTATTTCTCATTTTTTGAAATTAGTAAACTTATTTCAACAGATCAGGTTGTAAGTCATCCATAGACTTGCTTTTAATTTGATAATAACATTCTTAGATTTAGTTAAGGAAACAGAGACACAGAGAAGTTAAGAAACTTGCTCACTTACTGGGGATGAAGGGGTGGAGTGAAGACTTTGAATGCAGGCTTTTCTGCCTCTCACATTTTCTTCACTCCACCATATTGCTCCTGTTAAAACCGTCCAGCTCTTTTCTTCTTTGGACTTTGCTTTAACAAGCTGAGATGGCTATTGGATCAGCAATTAGTTATTTCCATAATAAAATTACTAAAATGTAGTCATTTTCATTTTTCACATTCTGGTTAAGTGCTTTACTATATCTAGACTCTTCCGAGTGTCTTAGAGTCACATGGCTTCTGAGCAGCCTGCAGTCCTTTAAATTCTTTGATTTCTTGATCTCAAACTATATTTACCAACATGATTTTTGCCTTTTTCTCCTGTATCTATTTTCATATTGAAGTCACCACAAATGGGGATATATGTTGAGTTAATTTTGAAATTTTTGTTAAGTTCATCAAAAAATCCATCCTCTGCAATGTAAGTTATTGTGTAAGCTTCACTTATTTTCCTGGTCTGTTTGCTTGCATTCATCACAACGACTGCAAGGCAAGATAACCAAGTATCCTCTGACACAATGTTTGTTGTTGCCTTTGGAAAAACTATGAAACCAACTCTGCCAACTCCGTTATTCATCTTGCTGAGGAAAATATGCAAGTTGTCCTTCCATTTATTTTAGCTGTAGCTTCTTTGTCTACTGATTTCATTTATAACAAAAATGCCAGTATGTACATGGTTAATTTCCTCTGGTAGTATCCAGCTTGTTGGTAGTTTGACAGAGATGAGTTCCAACTGTCAAATTAATGTTTGTAGACAGTCTGGAGCCATGTGATTCTTAGCATCCCTTCCTACCTTTCCCACTTATCCACCCCTGTTTAGGAGAAAGTAACGATCAACTTTGAATTTTCAAAAGGGATGATTATTCTTGATTGCATAAAATATTTCTGTGCTAGATATAAATATATGTGCTCTTCATTTCTTGGGAAAAATTATCTTTGGTTGCTGTAGTCAGAAAGAATTAATTGCAGAATAGTTATACTTGCGTAGATTTCATTTCCAGGTGGTATTCTTGTTCACTCTAGTCCAACAGGATGTCTTCCATAACTGTGTGCTCATCATGTATTGACTACTTTAGAAATGTATCAATGTGCTGTAGTTTTCCTCTAGATCCCTGAAAATTTAACAGGGTGATTAATAACTTGTTTCAGCTTGGTCATGGTGTTAGGTAAATCATTTAAACTACATATGCTGTGGGTTCTGGGGAATTGGGGTTAGGGCTTTAGGCAGCTGAGCCATCTAATCAAACCACAGTGGGACTCTAGTTTTCATATTATCCTTGCTTATTTTGCAGTATAGGTTAACTCTAGCATATGTTCCATAGTATATTCTGAGGATAGGGCACATTATACCTACTAACCTTCTAGCAGAGACATAGATGTTTAATTATTCCACAAGTAAAACTAGTAAGCCAGATCTCACACTTGGCTTTTTTGTGCCTCTTTTTCCAGGAATTAAAATTCAACTCACTGTGAGATAGGGAACATTGGACCATAGCTTCTTCAGAACTTTGATGTAACTTAACTTTCTACTTGATACCAGTTCAGCAGGTGATCTGGGATCTAAAATAGGCTCAGAATGATGGTAATTGCTTTGTTGGGACCAGGTCTCAAAACCATGTCCCTAAAAGTATGGTAAATGATTTTTTTTTTCCTGGGGATGTACAGAGAACATCAGGGAGTTTTAGGAGCATGTGGGTTGTGACATAAATGGGGGTACTGGGATAAACTATTAGAGAGGCTTTTATTTATCTGGCGTGTTCACCAAAGAATTTTCTTATGATTAAGATGTTGAGAGGTTTGAGTTATTCCTATTGTCATTGATGTTTTGAGAGAAAAGCCAGGAGCTAAGTCCATGGCAGAAGCCAATACAGGACTGGGTCTCTAGGCATGTGTTTGTAGGGAATGTGTGTTGTTTAGTTTTAGTTTTAAAAAGTAATTCAACACTTTTCTGTATTATCAGTAGGAGACTCATTGGCCTTATGAAGCTGATGAGAAGGGAATACCATCAGTCTTGGTGGGAATCAAGTACCCCTTCTGTGAAGCTGAACTGGTTGGTTCTGGGTCATTACAGTATGTGGAGTGCTGCCTCAAAACCACTGTAGAAAGTAAGCCTACCATAAAGCCAAAAAAAATTCAGTCCTTTTCATGCAAATATTACTTATTCTTGACTTTTTTCACTATTAAAAACATTTTACTAATGAACTTTTGTCAATCTCGCCCTTTGCAAGAGACTGTGAGTACTTTGGAAACTTGAATTTCTCCAGATAAGCCACACATGGACTTGAATTTCCAGCTAAAGAGTTCTAAACTGTATGCTCAAAGTCCAATTGTATCCTATTCTAAGCCCACCTTTTTGGGTGCTCCCTTCAAAACTTTCCCCAAACCATACCAATAGCCTTGTTTTTGAAGGCAGCCTTAGGGGTAAAAGAGTAGAGGGTGGGTGTTGGATGCACTGAAGATTACAAGGTTCTTTATTGCAGTGTTTAAAGAATCTTCTATTTTTACAACCAGCAAAACCAGGAATTGAAGTGGGAGAATGGAAAAGTAGGCCTTTAATTTCTATCCCATATTCCTTTTCTGGTTTAAGAGACACGGTTCAGTCTGTCCCAGTGCTGTGACCTATCGCAAAGACTGCTATTCAAAAGGAAATAAACCAGAACCTTGTCAGCTGGGTCTCCAACACCAGCACTGAGGCCCTGACCCGGAAGCCTCCATGGGAGGTAAGGGGTCTCACTTCAACCCACTTTGGAGGCAATAGGTGAAACTGGCATAGCACAATGCCCCCATCTGAAAAATGTTTTTGCACCAGGGTCATAGTGTTATCGTATGGCTACCATATGCTAGGTTCATATGTAGATACCTGCCCCACAACCTTGGCAGAATGAGAGTGGACAAGGCTAAAACACTTGAATTGAATGGAGTGGTGGTTTGAATTCTGGAACAACCCAATATAAGAAGCAGCTGACTTTGGTAGGTTATGATACTCAGGCAAAAAAAAATAAGCTGGTTGTATTGTCAGTCACTTAGTTCCACTTTGCAAGAAACCTTTAAGGAAGGTGTCTTGAGGTTTTGAGTTTTCCTCCCTCTTCTTTTTCTCCTTTCCTCCTTTTTAGTCGAATAACTCTATGTAGACAATCAGAGGTCTGCCAGGTAGGGACTCCTGGCTGGTACCAGCACCATGTTTAGGCCTCTTTCATATACTAACTCATTGGAACTGATGCACTTTGTTTCCTGTATTTTGCCTTTTTTATTAGCTGCTTGTTTGGAACAAAACAAAATGCATACTGTGTTGTGACCTTCCTGCTTGCTGTTTTTTCCTTAATTTCAAAAGTTATGCATCAAGGGTAAAATACTACTTAAGGAGAAATATGCACAAAACAAATATGCCTATTGAAAATAATGTCCATCATGTTTGGTAGGTGTAGTGACTTCAAAGGATTTTAAAAACTATTTTAGATGGGTATTTTGCTTGTTTCCTTGTAAATAAGAATGTAAATAAGTTTGTGGTATGACAGTTTTAAGTGATTGTAAAAAAAAAATAAAAAAAAACCCAACACAAACTATGGTTTCATTTGTGCTGATTTGGATAGCCAGGAACACTGTGCTATCCAGATTCAACTTTTTCTTTATTTCCTTTTAAAGCTTTCTAGTAGGGTTTCTCAGAGTCTCTTGAGCAGGGCAGTAAATTTCTTGATACCACCAAGTGGGGCTGCTTTTCAGGATGCTCATGTTCACTATCTGATTCTTGTATTTCTGACCAGTGGCACTTTACTATTCAGGTCCTAATATTTTCTTAACCTAAATGCCATAAGAGAAAGTAGAAGTTCAGTTTTTCAGCATAATTGAGCCCTGGAGGTATGAGCCCAATCTCCAGTGGTATCTAAAGCAGCTCCTGGATACAAACCTACTTGGCCTCAGGAGTCATGCTCCACAGTAGGAATCACTTTGCAAGATTTTCCTGCATGTTTCAGCCCTGGATCCTCTTTGGATCTTCAAATACCTTTTGGCCTAATAATATCTAACTAGACTTTCTACTGTCTTAATTGAAGGCCATTTCTTCCTGTGGATCAGGAGTATAATTAGTTGAGCCTTTGATACTATTAAAATCCTTCACATAATCATTAACTTAGAACTGGAAAGGAACTTTAGACGTTATTTTATAAAAAAGGAAACTGATTGTCCAGAGAATTTAAGTGACTTGCCTGCATAAGGTCACATAGATATAAGTGGAAGAGCCAAAATTCTAGTCCAGGTCCTCCGACTGCAAACCTAGCTCTCTTTCCACTATATTCTGTCTTAAAAATAGTAATTAAATCAACCTAAAATCTCTTTTCTAAGATAAACAACTGTCGCACGTTAATTTTTGTATTTGTTCATTAATTATTTTATCATTTAACTGAGAGAAGATTACTGCTTTCACCAAATCTTTAAGATATGATTTAGTTTACATTCCTATCAACCAGTAAAGCTTATGATGAGTAAATTTCATTTCTATACAATCATTATTCACAGTGTCTATTCTTGACGTGAGACAAGGGTCCAATTTCCTTGGAGATGGTATTTGTTAAATAGAACAAATGTAGCCCTCATGCCTACTCAAAACTACAATGTGTTCAATATATTGGATCCTCAGTCAGGTTCAGGTAACGTTTATCATGTGCCCAGCACAAAGATAAACAATACTTCCTCATGCAGCAAGTATGCTCTGACTCCCTCTTCCAGAACTAGGTTGGCCACATTTGCCTCTCAGCGTCCTGGGAGTAACCTTGAAGGATGGGGGGATATCTTCTTTATTGCTAATGGCTAGAGCCCTGCCAGCTGTGTTCTTCCATCTCTCAGATGCCAGTAACTAGGCCCCAGTTCCATTTAACTACTTAACGTCAATTAGTTTTTATAAAGGGACATTTATTTGAAGTAATAGGAAGAACAATCATTTCCACTTAATCCTTGGGAGCATAATTTCCTCTATACCACCTTAAGTCTCTGGGGAAGTAGGCTCAGTTTAGCTTAATTCCTATATAGCATTGGTCCTACCAACTCACATCCAAATGCAGTCTCTGTTGGATGAGTCCTTGTCACAGCTTGGAAATGGCAGGGTCATCAATACTAAACTAACTGTAAAACCTGGACACAGGGAGTCCCAGGTGCTTCGTCTCTTGATCTTTCACAACTCACAGTATCAGTGATTCCAGAATATCTGGAACAAAGCAGAGGCCGAGGCTCATTTCTTGGGGCTATGAGGCCTCAATGGGAAGAACGCACCAAGGTCTCTCCATTTTCTAACATTGTCTATCACTGCATGTGAAGGAGTCAATGAAATCCACCCCAGAATAAAACCAAAGAGAGTGAAGCTTTTTTAAAATGCCCCCACTTTTACTTCTTCCTGAACATGTAGTTAGCATATTGGAATCATTTACATAATATCAACTCATACTTCATAGATTCTCCAAGGTATTTACATTCCACCTCCTCTGGACTCTACCAGAAGCTGGCTACCCAGTCTCCATGTGAGGAGGCACCATGGAAGGCATTCTGTACATGTCTATGTCATTCCCCTGTTACATTTCAAGCACCTAGCTCAATTCCTACAAAGCATTGATTGGTTCTACCAAGTTTATATCCAAAGGTGGCTTTACTTATAGATGAGTCCTAGTCTCAGCTACTGCTGGACTGGGGTCCCCAAAAGTCACTCCTTACTCCTCAAAACATTGATACTAGGCCAACCACAACACCTATCCTGGAAGATAGACTCTGGAACACTGGGTGCCCTCTGGACCTTTCAAACTCTAAAAGTCAGGGAGATTCCACTTTTTCAACCTAGAATAGAAAATGCAGAAGTCTGAGGACTGAGGCCTATTTCTCAGGGGTCCCATGGCCTCAGGGGAGATAAGGCCTTTAATTGTATCATATCTCTCACCAGTTATAGTGAGCAAAAGAGTCATCAAGATTCTCCAAAAAGAGATTTTCCCAGTAGACGTGTAGTGTCTGATGCTGACAAGCCCTTTTGAATGCCATCTAAGCCTGCTCCACAGTCTCCCCACAGCACTTCCCTTACACATCATCAGTATTCTTCCTGAAGCAAGCAAGCTTGGTATCCCACCACATGGAAAGCTTGCTTCAGCCAAGTAAGCTGATGGGATCTACCCATGTGCCAGACACATACGAAGTTACTGACTGGAAGAGATTTACAGGGCTGGTATGGCATAAGGACAATGGAAGGGGTAAGGAAGTCTGGTGCTAAAGTGAAGGAGATGGGGTAGGGAGAGTGATAGATCTAGCGAATTGAGAACAGTTTGAAGGATTGGGTGCTGTTTCGGCCAAAGACTGATTTGTTAGGCAAGAGGAAGGGGAAGAGGGCATGGCCAGAAGAGAACTTGGCAGTGGAGAAATCGACAAGTGCTGACTTGGTTTTCTTTTTTTATGGTTCTCAAGAGTGGGAGTGGAAACTTAGATTTGACCTCTATAGCCTTATAAGCCTTTGAACTTTTAAACCCGAAACGTTTTCCACACAGTTGCTCTAAATAGAAATTATGTTTAATGCTTAGCACAGTGCCTGGCGCAGAGTAGGCACTTAAAAAATCCTTTCAACGTGAAAGTACACCACCTCCACTCCCCCACCAGAAAAAAAAAAAAGGCAGCGTGGAAGAGATGCTTAGCTTGCACCCTGGCCCCTGGTGCTTCTGACCTCGCCACCCTGTATCCTGCAGCCTCGGGCTTGCTCAGCTCACACCTGGCGGCGCCCGCCCCGCCCAGAGCTGGGCCCGCCGGGCTCCAAGCCCCGCCCCCAGGCCGCCCTCCCGCCGTTCGGAGGAGGAGGCCGTGCACCGCCCCCCGGGCGCAGTTGCGCCAATCAGGGGCCAGTGATCTCAGACGTCGGCGATGACGCACGGCACGCAGAGGAGCCGAGCCGAGCGGCCGGGCTGAGGTGGCCGGCTCCCGGGGCTCGGGGGCTCCGAGCTGGCGGCGGCTCGGGGAGCAGAAGCCGGGCCGGCTTGGGCCGGGCCGGGGCGCCCGTCCCTTCCTCCGGCCAGCCCCGCCATGCAGGGCCCCTCAGGCAACGCGAGCCGCGGGCTGACGGGTGGGCCGCTCCCCACGGCCTCGGCCGGGGCCAGCGAGCGGGGCTGCGAGAACGGCGCTTTCATGGACAGCTTCGGCATCTTCCTGCAAGGGTTGCTCGGAGTCGTGGCCTTCAGCACCTTAATGCGTGAGTGACGGCGGGCAGGGCCGGGGACCCCGCGCCGCTGCCTCCCTTCCTCCGCCCGGGGACCCCCGAGACGGGGGTCGAGGCTGCCACGCCCCTGAGGTGGCATTGCTGGAGAACCCGAGAATCTCTTATGAGACACGCTCCATCCCTCGCAGTGTGGGAGCCCCAAACGGCGGTCAGAACTGACCCCACCCAGCCGCGGACCCCCGCATCCCCGAGGCTGCTGCCCACCGAGCCGCGACGCCCCCCTGCCGCCCCTCCCCCGAATGCTTGCTGACATCTGGCAACGCTTCCTCTGGATCCCCGAGGTCTAGATTCCTGGGGATCGTCCCTTGCATCCTCGTGTAGCAACTTCTTTCCGTTGGGGTCTGTCATTAGGCTCTCCAGACCGCAGCCACCGGGACCTCTCTCGTCTCTCAGGATGAAGGGTCTAGGCACCCACTTTGTTGACACATTCCAGTCCTGCTCTGTCGTGGGCCTTTTACTCTTTTCATTAACATTCCCCCATTCCCCGCACAAACAACCTCGCGCCCCCCCGCGATGATTATTCCCGGGAACGTGGTAACTTTCTGTTTCTATGCCCGAGTGCCCATCCACTCTTTAGAGCTCCACCCCTTCTCCCTGTCTCTAACTTTCCTAACTAAATTTCAGGCCCACCTCCTTTCCCATCCTTACTTGACTTCTTTCCTCCACCTTCCCTTCTCTATAGGCTGAGGGCAAGTTGACGGCGGGGGACCCTTGAAATCATGTTTCCTAAGTCATACAGGAGCCTACCTTGAGAAAGCCAGGAGGAAAACAAGGGAAATAGCAGATGTTCTTCCTGGAAAGCTGGAAACTTTGCTTAGTCATCACTTTTGCCCTTGGCAGGGAGGGGAGGAAGGAGGGGGTAGAGTTTTATTTTTGTTGTTCTTTCCTTTTGGTTGGTATGTGGGAGTTTCCCCTTTTTTTCATTAAAGGTACAGGAAGCCAGTGCTTTAGTAGCTTTCTGATTGCATTTGGGGGGGAAAGTAGGGTTGTTAGGATATTCTTCTTAGGGTGCGCTTTGCAAATGTGAGGAAGCGTCATTTCTCCAAAATGACTTTATTGGTGGAATGGAGACCTCTGTGCTGGCCAAGGGAGGGAGGGAGAATGAAAAGGGTGGTAATCCATTTGAAGTGCTAGTCACTGGAGCCACAGATTGTATTGTCACTACTACCTAGCCATGTATTTCTTTTTTCCCCCCTAACTGTAAGTTTTTATGGGGGGGGGAGATTATTTTAGTTATCCCTTCCCCTCCCAGATAGTTAGCTCTTAAAACAAATAGTATTTTTAGATTCAAAAAAAAAAAAAAAGATAAAGAG